ATAGAGATGTTTAGGTGACCTATTTTGTACAGTTTGTGTGATTGAGAAATTCAGAAATTCCAGATTTTAAAATGTAGAGGTAATGGGAATTTGGGAGTATAAAAATTTGAAAATCTCAGGTTTGGAAATGTAGAAGTTTTGTAATTTGGAAATTTAGGAATTTAGGGATTTAGGGATTTAGGGATTTAGGGGTTTAGGGATTTAGGGATTTGGGAACTTTGGAATTTGAGAGTGTTGGAATTTGAGAGTTTTGGAATTTGAGAGTTTTGGAATTTGAGAATTTTGGAATTTGAGAGTTCTGGAATTTGAAAGTTTTGGAATTTGAGAATTCTGGAACTTGAGAGTTCTGGAATTTGAGAGTTCTGGAATTTGAGAGTTCTGGAATTTGAGAGTTTTGGAATTTGAGAGTGTTGAAATTTGAGAGTTCTGGAATTTGAGAGTTTTGGAATTTAAGTGCTCTGGAATTTGAGAGTGTTGGAATTTAAGAGTTCTGGAATTTGAGAGTTTTGGAATTTGAGAGTTTTGGAATTTGAGAGTTTTGGAATTTGAGAATTTTGAAATTTGAGAGTTCTGGAATTTGAGAATTTTGGCTGGAATTTGAGGGTTTTGGAATTTGAGAATTTTGAAATTTGAGAGTTCTGGAATTTGAGAATTTTGGAATTTGAGAGTTTTGGAATTTACAAATTTTGGAATACAATAATGAAATATAAAAAACGCAAAACAAATAGCACCATCTACAACCCGAAAGCTTTAAACAAAATAATAAAAGATCAAGTTAGTACATAAAAACATTAGAGGAAGGTAAAGTTTAAGGTTTCGTATTTTCATTTATAATTTCATCCATACATTCTTTCCCGAAAGAATTTCATTATATATCATTACAAGTCCCCTATGTAATTTAACAGTAATGACGACAGAAGAACAGATGTGCAAAACATGTCATAAATCTTGCTCGTTAATGACTGAAATCATATTACTCAACTGGTACTACCACCGATCAATGCTTTCACGTTTTGTAAATTATTTATTCAACATATTTTTATCAAACAAAAATTTTAATTACTAAAATGGATTAAAACAATGAAAAGATTATAACCTCTGTAAACACAGTTCTCATGAATGACATTCTGAATATCTATTTTAAATTTGGCGCCATTTTTTAATAATTATGTTAGCAGCCGTTAACTTTATTTCGTATTTTATATTTCTGTCTAAATTTGTTTAAATTCGACATGTTTACAGAAGGTTTGACGTAGTTGGTTTATAAAATTGTTTTAAACTAAACAGAATCGTATTTATACAACATATTTTTCCCAGACAGACATTTTAATTAATAAAATCAATTAAAACAATGAAAAGATTATAAACACTGCAGATAGAGTTCTTATGAATGATTTTCTGAACGTCTACTTTAAAATTGACACTATTCCTGTACAAAAATATTTGCAGCCATTAACTTTGTTTCAGGTTTTAAATTTTTATATAAATTTGTTTAAAATTCTATATATTTTGTCTAATTCTAGTCTCTTCCTAGTCTCTCCTCAAGCTCTCCCTAGTCTCTCCTTAGGCTTTCCCTAATCCCACCTCAGTCTCTTCCTTGTCTCTTCTCAGGTTTTCCCTAGTCTCACCTCAGTCTCTTCTCAAGCTCTCCCTAGTCCCATGTCAGTCTCTTCCTAGTCTTTCCTCAAGCTCTACCTAGTCTATCCTCAAGCTGTCCCTAGTCTCCCCTCAAGCTCTGCCTAGTCTCTACTCAAGCTCTGCCTAGTCTCTCCTCAAGCTCTCCCTAGTCTCCCCATAGGTTCTTCCTAATCTCTCCTCAAGCTCTCCTTAGTTTCTTCTCAGTCTCTTCTCAGGCTCTCCCTAGTTCCACGTCAGTCTCTTCCTAGTCTCTCCTGAAGCTCTGCCTAGTCTCTCCTCAAGCTCTCCCTAGTCTCCCCATAGGTTCTTCCTAATCTCTCCTCAAGCTCTCCTTAGTTTCTTCTCAGTCTCTTCTCAGGCTGTCCCTAATCCTACGTCAGTCTCTTCCTAGTCTTTCCTCAAGCTCTGCCTAGTCTCTCTTCAAGCTCTCCCTAGTCTTCCCTTAGGTTCTTCCTAATCTCTCCTCAAGCTCTCCTTAGTTTCTTCTCAGTCTCTTCTCAGGCTCTCCCTAGTCCCACGTTAGTCTCTTCGTAGTTTGTCCTCAAGCTCTGTCTAGTCTCTCCTCAAGCTCTCCCTAGTCTTCCCTCAAGCTCTCCCTAGTCTTCCCTCAGGCTCTCCCTAGTCTCTCCTCAGGCTCTACCTAACCTCTCCTCAAGATCTCCCTAACTTCATCACTGACCAAATGATAATTCGCAAGCCACTTTCCCCCATATTTCTTGTTTCCTTGCTCCACTGAACCACAAGAGTCCGACTCCATCCGTGTTTACTGGACTTTGTTGTTCTCTTTGCTGATTATGTTGCAACACGCTAACTGCTCGTTACTCGCATGAAACCTCTTCCGCTGTTTCAATATCTCTCCCTTGAGTGATGCTAGGAATTTGACTGATGGTAGGAAGACAGAATGTTTAATGACGGAGATCGTGCTGCAACTAGTAGAGATACTGTGCGTGCCTTATAAGAAGGCACGCGGAGGTCATTGATCAGATCTCAATTCAGGTTGCAAAATGCTGTCGATCGCGTCTACTAATTCGATTTCTATTGGGTGCTGAGAGGTCAGGTAGATTTATATATCAACGTTGTAGCAATTCTATCTTATTGTTGGAATACTATTTTGATTAATGAAATAATCAGTGTTTATCTTTTTTGTATTTATTTCTGATGTATTTTTAGAGTTGTATTGTTTGAAACAAGCTTGTATTTTGCAAGGTTTTTTTAATGTATTTTTTAACGTAGTTTTGAATGTATTTTGCAATGTATTTTGTAATGTATTTTTTATAATGTATTTTTTAATGTATTTTGTAATGTATTCTTTAATGTATTTTTTAATGTATTTTTCCATGTATTTTTTAATGTATATTACAATGTCTTCTTTAAAGTATTTTGCAATGTATTTTTTAATGTATTTTGCAATGTATTTTTTAGTGTATGTCTTAATGTACTTTTTCATGTATTTTTTAATGTAAATGTGCAAATATAATTCTAAATTATTTTAAGAAAATATGATTAAAATATTAAAATGTCATCACTTCTTTTTAACAAGTGTGCAAATATGATTATAAATATTTTTAAGTTCTAGTATGATTCTCAATGATTTTATAATATGGATTCTAAAACTCCTTAAACTTCTTTAATATTCCTCAAAATTGAAAATTTCTGAAAACCTTAAAAAGTAAAAATTTCTAATTTCATTACATCTGACTAAAATACCATATTGCAGAAGATATAATTTCAATGCAAATTAATGATTTCCCAGGTCATCGACCCTACGACAGTCAGCCTCTAATCATTCTGTTGACTCGATATTCAAAAATAAAAAAAGCCTTTCATCGCACAATTTTGCATCAAAGCTACAAACATCTTTTAGTTTGGAAAATCCCAATTACAAGTATGAATGGACGAAAACATAAAAGAATCTCATAATCATTCTCATCTTCAAAAGAATATTGCCTCATTATTCACATCTTCGCGTTAATCCTCGTATTCATCCGAGTAAACATTGTTTAAGGATCAGTATTCAAGTTTTAGAATGACTGGCACATTCTCGGATATAAAAATCACTGAAAATGTGTTGGGAATATTAGTGGGACGCATTCATCACGAGAGCAAAAATTGTTCAAGAATCAAATCACTTATTTAGTGTAAGGAAAAATTCATAAAAATTTAAGTGAAAAATCAAGGTTAAAAAATATTTCAGTTAATGGAGCAATTGATTAAAAACAGTTTCCATCGTAAGTAATTACGAAATAATTTAAATTTTCTATTCTATATAGATTTTATTCTATTTTATATAAATTTTTCTGTTTTCTATTGTAAGTAATTGAAATAGTTATGAAATAAATTTCTTCAGCAGTGAACTCACAGTTCCAATCTAAAAATAGATATTATGGATATAAAAAGAGTAACATTGTGTAAAAATTGCGATATCTCCGCATAGTATTGTTTATGTCACATTCCTGAGTAATACTGCAGAACAAAAATGCAGTTGTTTGTAATAGAGGAGAATCGTATTTCATGAGAGCGTTGAAGAACATTCAGAGACGCGATAGCAGCACCCAAAACGTAAACGGACTCCAAAATGGAGGACACCGAAATACGCAGCTGCGAAAGTGCCATAGTACTGTACCTAAAAAAGTTTCTCTACAAAAATGTATTGTTTATTAGAAAATATTGATCTTACAAATAGCACAGTCATGTACAGGTACCTTTCTATTAACATATGATATATTAATATACATAAAGATGTATAAATCTGTAAAACAAGCTGTAGTCGAGATAACCTTGCATCAATAAGCTTTGAACAAGATAAAATTCCATTAATAAAGTTGCATACCAGTAAGCAGAAAGTAGAATGTTTTCCTTACAGAAAGAGAGGAAAATGAAATTTTTGTAGCAGTTGAACTCGCGTGCAAAGGAAAGTTGCACTCCGGGCAACCTTAACCTCTATCTTCCGTACAATCCTTGCAGACTAGATAAAAGTAAACGTCAGTATTATAAAGTTCAGTACTGTTAACAGTGTACGTCCCGAACTATATATAGAAAGAACAACAAACAACGATTTATCGAAAGTTCATTAAAATTGAGGTAAAGTTTGCATCACGAGTCCGTTTCCTCCATTCCGTTTAGTGCGCAGATAAAATGGTGCAAGAGACAAGAAATGCACATTAATTGTTATCGGGCATTGTTATTATTCCGCGAATGACTGCGTTCCATCTGAATATTTATCCGTTAAGCGTGGAAGGTCGTGATTACTTTCTAGGGCGCGTGTGTTTATAACGTGGAGCGCATTGATGATTGCGTTTGAGCAACGATAAAGGAGAAAAAAAGAGTGCCACCGGAATGATCTTATTTGTCTTTGGTTTCAGCTCTCTCCACGGCCACCGAGGATGTGGGAGATGGAATTCAAGGGCACGATAACGACACCGGTGAGTACTGCGGATTTGAGCGTTACAATAAATGAAATTTATATTGCATAAGGTGCACCTTCGTTATCTTAAGTAGTGCAACAGAGGTTTCATCTTACCATGCGATGGTAAGTTGATTGTCATTGAAATTGATATTATCATAAATCAAGGTTATTCCGTTTTAGACAGTCTCGCGTGTTGAATATCAAACGGACAATTATTTCAGATGCATTCTTATATTTATCGCTGTTCAGATAAATAAATCGTTCCGTGTCGAAATCGTTTGATGTAACACAAATTTCCTGCTGTTATCGACATGTACAACCGATATATCGATAATATTGTCCGGACAAAGAGAATGTTTTTATCCTGGAGATCGTTACATGATCTTATTCTTATCTTTCGATTATTTACATTATTTTTTGAGCAGTGTGCATCTTATCGGACGTACTTTGATTTCCACGGACGTTACGTAGGCGTGATACATTTTTACGTCTGAAGGGCAGGTTAAATGATTACATGTTTATCGGTGTTGATAATTAATAATACGTCAACAGAGATTGCGACTGTTTTGTTTTCGTTGTAATCCTGCAATCTTGATTCACCGGTATATCGTTTTGATCAAGAAAATTCACGAAGGGTCACATTTGAAGTGGTTACACTTGCCATGTACACATTTGGTCCAGGGTCGACTAGTTCAGTTCCGAAGTGAACGGTGATTAATACTGTCCGCGTGTTTATTCACCAAACTGTACAATTGATGTGCTCAATTGAACTATGTTGCGCCATCTTAGATAGCGTTGATACGAATTAGAAATAGTCGTAGTAATTCTTTATAGGTTACTATTCTTTTACTCTAATATTGATTAGAATTTACTAATTTACCTTTAGTTTTAAATCACTTGTCAATTATTTAAGTTTATTGTTACGATTATTATGACTTTATCGAATTTCCCGCTAAATTGTAGCAGGAGAGATTCTTCAGTAAACGTTAATTTATTGTATTAATAATTTATTTTATGCTCTAACAGTGATTAGAATATACTAATTTAGTTTTGACTACGTACTAATCATTTAAGTTTTCAAAGTTGTTACAATTACTAATATAACTCTCTTCAAACTTCCCGCCAAATTGTAGCAGAAGAGATTCTCCATTAAACGTTACATTATTGTATTAATAATTTATTTTGTACTTTAATATTGATTAGAATGTACCAACTTAGTTTTGATCACGTACCGATCATTTAAGTTTGCAAAGTTGTTACAATTACTAATATAACTCTCTTCAAACTTCCCGCCAAATTGTAGCAGAAGAGATTCTCCATTAAACGTTACATTATTGTATTAATAATTTATTTTGTACTTTAATATTGATTAGAATGTACCAACTTAGTTTTGATCACGTACCTATCATTTAAGTTTTCAAAGTTGTCACAATTACTAATATAACTCTCTTCAAACTTCCCGCCAAATTGTAGCAGAAGAGATTCTCCATTAAACGTTACATTATTGTATTAATAATTTATTTTGTACTTTAATATTGATTAGAATGTACCAACTTAGTTTTGATCACGTACCGATCATTTAAGTTTGCAAAGTTGTTACAATTACTAATATAACTCTCTTCAAACTTCCCGCCAAATTGTAACACAAGAGATTCTCCATTAAACATCATTTATCGCGCCATTAATTTAACATTAAATTATTTGGAAAAGTACGAACGAATAAAGAAATTATTTTCGTCGCTAGTTGAATTATAGATCATTCGATAACGTCCAAGTCCGATGACTGATCAACTGAAAACAATCATTGACCGAGATTTGTGGCTTTATCACGAAATATCGAGATGATAATTAATCCTGTTTATTGTACTCAATCGAACGATAATTCTTTTACGAAACACATATTTCCGTTGCTACGACTACGTGTGGAATATTTGGTTTTGTCTTAGCAAGAAATTAATCCGTTTTCGTGTTTGATCGGATAATGAAGCGAAGGTCGCGTTGCAGTATTTGCATATATGGTAAATAGATCATTTCTATTAGTAATCTGTTTTACCTTGAACATGAAAAATACTTTAACATGTGCATATCGAAGGTTGAGATGACATTTTAATGGTAAAATTATTTCTTTGTTAAAATGTAGTCTCATAAATTTTTTATGAATTTTTTGTTGGATATTTAAATTTTTATTACTAAAGATATTCAAGAGTCGTACGAAAAGGAAAGTTTAATTTCTGAGAAGTGTCAGTATAAATAAGGAAGAAATTTTATTATTATAAAATATATAGCTGTGATTAATTAGAATTGTCGTTAAAAGCATTCAAATTTGGCGCCAAGTGTGACAATAAGTAAAAATAACTAACAAATATAATTGCAGATATACAAATTACTTTCCTAAAAGTTACCTCACCAAAAAAATCATAAGATCAAGATATTTAATCCTTTAATCATCTTTTAACTAATTATGATCGCCATCAGAGATATTCCGCGCCAAATTCAAATTTCCAAGATCTCAAAAGATTCGAACCGATGAAATCTGAAATAAATTACGAAATCTTATTCTAAAATATCACTGCAATCAGTTAATACTATGAAGTACAGGTATTAAAATTCCAGACCGCCTTTGAACAACTAAGTACCGCAGTTGGTTATATAAGGAACTTACCTTGATGTTATCATCAAATTTCGCTACGAACTTTCCACAATAATTAATCACAACTGATTTCGATCGATAAATCGACAGCAATAGCGAAATATCAGAACATTCCAAAAATCGATTTATTTCGCTGACTCACTGTTAAATACATTTATTAATGTTTGTTAACCGAACCGACATTTTTTGTCCTCGAACGGACTTCGAACGCTGTGTCAAAAATAAGTGAATAATTGTGTTGACGTTTCAATATTCTTTTTTTTTCTCGTTCTGCTAAATCATAAAAAAATTTGAATAATTTAGTTCCTGCTGTTGTATAGGAAAGTTGTAAATCAAATTCCTGTCAGTCGCGGGATCGTTGACTGCGTTATTGTATATTTTTATAGTCAGATTTTCAAGATTAGGAATTTTTGACGTCATCAATTTTCAGATTTAGAAATTTGAAATCTTTTGATGTCATCAATTTTCAGATTTTCAAGTTTAGAATTTGTTGACACCATCAATTTTCAGATTTTCGAGTTTAGAAATTTTTGATGCCATCAATTTTCAGATTTTCGAGTTTAGAAATTTTTGACGTCATCAATTTTCAGATTTTCAAGTTTAGAATTTTTTGACGCTATCAATTTTCAGCTTTTCAAGTTTAGAAATTTTTGACGTCATCAATTTTCAGATTTAGAAATTCCAAATTTTTGACGCCATCAATTTTCAGATTTTCAAGTTTAAAAATTTTTGACGTCATCAATTTTCAGATTTAATAATTCAGAATTTTTCTACTTAAAATATGCAAAAATTTGTAAATTTCTACATTTGAAGATTTCGTATTTACCCAGTTTTCAAGTTTGTAAAAATTCAAATTACCAAACGTGCAAATTATGAAATTTAAATTTTAATAAACATAGAAAATCAAAAGACTCCAGCTAAAATTTTGATCTGCTTCATTTGTTTGAAATGATTTGGCAGTGGGATATCAAGTACTTCATAAAAGTTTTATGACCTCGCTATATCATGGCGGAAAGTGTACGTGTTAAATTGCTGTATGAATCCTTGACCGCTCAAGCGTAGCCCAGATGGAAGAGTACGGTGCTCTAAGATTTCCTTGTAACGTTCTTTATTTAAAATACCGCCGGTTTGGACAAGGCCACCTGTTCCAGAAAAATATTTCCGGACTTGAATGGACCCACCTTCCTTGGTTGCAACTCATGAATGTAGTTCAGTGTTGTAGACTTCGAAACTTACGATCGATAAGTGATATTGAAAGTAAATATTTGCGAATTGTAAAATTGTACGAATATTGTTACAATTTTGGTATAATTACGTAGTATGGTATTAGTATAATTTATATAGGGACAAATGGAAGGAAATATGGGTCAAAATGACCTATTAGTTCTGAGTTAACCCTCAAAGGTTAAAAGTGTCGAAGCTTTTCATAAGAAAAAATGAGGTTATGTCAGATTCTTCGAAAGCTTTCCCTAGTCCCTCTGTAGACTTTCCCTAGATCTTTCTAACGCTAATACAAGTATTCTTAATCCGTAGAACTATACGTTATACCTAAGAGTACATAAATTAAAAAATAACGTGAAGAAATTGAAGTTGTAATTACGAAAGTGATTCGCATTCAAATTTCCCGCTAAATTGATGTCTATCGTCTCTCATCGGACCGAAGTTTTCACTAAAACACCTAAACCATTCATTTTTATGTCTACTATAAAGAGCAGATATAACAAGAGGCGATAATAGACAAGGAAACCTCCTAGAGAGACAGAGGACCAATTTAAATGCCCAAATCAAAAGAATCGGGGCTGCGCATGCGCACAGTGTAGAAGTATGGCGGAAAAAGAATAGTTTAAACCTGCATATTCACCAGTAATTTATTTGTAATAAATATTTTGTCATATCTCTGTAACACATTCATCTGTAATTTCTTGTGATATATAGTTTTTCATTTTCTTACAAGTTATTTGTAATAATCATTTCCGTAATACATATTCTTCAAATATATTTTGTAGAGCAATCATTTTTGTTCTTTTCTTTTTCAACTTTTCAACGGCGTAAAATTGATAAAAATACCTCAAAAGACAATATTATGTACAGAAAATTTATTACAAATATATTCCAAATTATTGGAGATTGACGTGAAAGTAGATTTGCTCGATTTAAATTTCCTGCTCGTTTGTACAACCAATTTAAGGGAACGTTTTCGAGAGATCAAATAGTGTCCCCTATAGTTTACTCTGTGATAATGTCCTTCACAGGAAATAAAAGTCAGTGGAAAATGTATTGAATTGTAAAAAATGTACTAATAAAAATTAGGTGTAATTCCTGTTGCATGACATCCTTCGTATTACATAGAAATCATTTGCTTGGTT